TGAACCGCTGCAAGACAATTTGTCCCCAGAAAATAAAAGTGAAAAAAAAGTTGCAGGAAACAAGTCGGAGGTCTGCAGAACTGTATCCGGTATAGTCCATACCATCAGTTTTCAAAGGCTTCCTATTTCCTCATCTAACACTAAAGTAAATTTAGCTTCCGCCCTCCTCCCCCCACCCATTTTCCTCTGTTGTCCCAAAAGGGTCCCTTCTTGCTAGCAGATATCAGCATCTAGGGGCAGAACAATTCAGTTCAATTCCTACCCAGAAATTGCAGCAGGAAAAAAAAAAGTTACAGCAGCACTGGAAACAGCACAAGTCATTTATAATGTGCTGCATACTGCTTGCAATTTGGACAAAATCTGAACTACATCTTGAATTAAAATGCCTCTCTGTAAAAGCCGCATCTACTTCACCCTCAGGACACAAAACACATGATTATAATGATTCTGATTCACTCGACCACCACCAAAAAAAAAACTGTCCAGCTTCACATCCAATGATGCTTAAATATTTCACATACATAAAAATCAAATCAACATACACGTTTCACTTGAGGTTCTGGTGTGAACATTGCCCTCATGTATGGAAACACTAATTTTCTATGATATACATTCCTTCAGAGCAATTCAATAAAAATATGTGGGTGAAGGCTTTACATGCGATAAATAACAGAACAATCAGTCTTAGTCAGATATGGAAGATTTAAGAAATGCACAACCCAACCAATGAACAGCTTCATTAGGCCTTTTCATAATTAAATGATATCGCTAGAGCTGGAATACAGGGAATGTTCTCCCTGAAATTAGAGGCATTCATCATTTTGCCACCTCCACATGCCCTCTGCCCATCAGGCCATATCGTTTGGGACAATGAACAAGCCAAAAATTGAAGTTTGAAAGCAACCTGAGAAATATTGCATCGTTTCCATCCATCTTAGGAATTCTTCCCTTTAAGTGTTGCTTCCCACAAAAGTTACCTTTGCCCAAAGTCTAGGGCAAGAAATACATAAATATTCAACCATGACGCAGAGGTAGAATAGAATTCTGATTTCTAGCAAGAGACTTTTCAGAGCTAGAAATGGGAGTCATGTTATTTGTATGGGAGGCACAACATTTGCTGGCAAGTCTTGGGCAGTCTCATTCCTTACGTTACTTAAAGAAGGCATGACAGGCTGGTTTTTAGAGATTTCTAAAATGTTAGTCTTATTTACTGCTTTCCACAGTGAGACCTTCAGAAATGTGCCATTATAAGCAGAGGGAAAGGAAAGAAACCCAGGGAAGATGTTAAATCTCTTAAGATTTTCTGCATCATAACTTTCAGGAAGGGCTGTGATGAGATATCATGTCACAATTTTATTGTACCCATTTCCCTTACTCAGTCAGCATACAAAATCAGCCATAAATGCAGACCTGCAAAGATTTATACCACCCAACATGCTTCTTCCTACAGAGAGCTCTCACCAATTGGGAATAGCGAGTGACAAAAAGTTAGGAAGTGTTTGCCTACCTTTGCTTTCGTGAAAAATTTGTGTCTTAAAAGTTCAGCAGCTGTTGGTCTATTAATAAGAGGGAGAAAAAATGGTTATAAAAGCTGCTTTTAAAGGCAACTGACTTGTGGCTTGCCTCACAATTGCAGCCTGTTTACAACAAGGGTGTGAGCTTCATTTGGCTTTCCTTAGAGTTGGCGTGTTCTTTAAACACATTTCCAATAGCACAAGGCAAGCTGTGGCTCAGGTTTACCCTGCTTTAAAAAAGATAAACTTGTCAAGAAAAAAAAAAAAAAAAACTACTCACATTCTGATGCTGAATTCAAGTATTTCAAAGTATCTATTTTTTTGAGAGACCACAGAGAAATGACCTGCCTCAAGTGACAATGAAAGATCAGATTACCATGGGAACAGTGCAGTATTGATGTTGCACCATTAAGCAAGAACTTTTTTCTAGTTTCATTAAAACCAAATGAGATGATCCATCTTTGCCAAATGGAAAAGGTCAAAAATCAAGAGGGAAAGAAATAAGTTAAGCATATTAAGTGCTTGAGACATGGGAAAGCAAAGATGTATTCAAGGGTTCATAGGGATTTTCAAAAGCTGCAAACCTCTATGAAAGGATAATTTACCACTGCTAAAAGAAATATCAGCAATTGTGTTTAATAATGACATGCTGAAGTTAAATCCTTACTAGCATTTTATTAACTATAGTATTACAATTTATAATATGCTAAAAGAGAGCTGAATTGGGGAGCTCCTGTACCTAATTATAACAGTTTTACAAAACTCTCCTCTCCTGTTCACTCCGGATATACCAGGCTTCAATAGTTGCAATGCGCTCTGCAATGGGGGCGTAAATCTGTGCTGGTACTATCTTTGCCATACAAGTTGTTTCCTGTAGGCAGACCTATGTAGCTTCCCATGAGAGCAGTGGGTTTATACCTGCACAGAACAACTGGCAATATTAGAGCCTCAGTTCCTTGAGCGAACACCAAGCTGTTGATTCCTGGCTGCTAACCTGCATGCTCACTTGGACTGGTGGGTGTTTGTGGCAGGAAGGAGAGAAGAGTATGTAATATGTGAAAAAGCAGTAACGTTTAATCCCAGTCCATGCGAGCTCTAGCCCATCATGTACATGATCATGCTGATAAAAAAAAAAAAAGGAAGAAATGAGAGTTAAACCAGGAGGAACTGGTACCACCCTCTGCCTGGAATCCCATCAGGTTCATTAAGCATGCCAAGTTTAGTCAGTTATAATAAACTATGCCATTTATATCAAGGCTGTACAGAGCCCTAAAGCAAGGCTCCGCTGTACTGGGGAATCAAAGAGAGCCTTAATTATAGTGCTGTATGAAAAGCCTAATCTTCCCCAGCCGTGACCTGCTGACTCCCGGGATAAAGAGGGTTTATTTTTAATCTCCATAAATGCTTCTGCTTCTTTACCATGTGGTTTATTAAAAATCACCTTCATATTTTGGAGAATAAGAAAAAAATAGTATGATTCTGTTTGAAAAAAACTTCTTTCAGAGCAATTCATGGAGGATGTAAACGCAAGGGCTTCACCTCAAAGATGCATTTCGGTTCAAACCTTCCCTTCAGGATGGGCTGTTACCAGCAGCCACCCTGCACTGAGCTAGCGACCTAGGGAAAGGTTGGGGGGCAGAGGCGGCAGGGGACCCAGAGCTGGCTGTGGTTAGTGAGCATGCCTAGATTAGAGCACCATTGTAGTTTTACCTGTAGAAATGTGGCCTTGTACCAGGGAACTTGACTGAGGCTTTAAAAGTTACCACCAAATAAGCCAACAGTAATAAACTGGGAACCATAAGTTCATGTTCTGCTCCACTTTATCCACAATGCAGAACAAACTTGCTTATTTGCAGCGAGTATGACTTAAAACCCAGTGCACCTGGACATTTAAAAAGGATTTGTATAGAGAGAAGACCAAGGGAAATCAGCTGCCAACATTTTACCTTGCTACACTCCATAAATAAATACTCCTCATAATTAAGCTAGTCGATCCATTCCTGTTTTTATGAATTTAAAAACAGAAGTTTTATCTAAAAAGCTCCTCAGGTAAATATGCAGCAAGCAACCTATAATTACTGAGATAAAACTGCAGTGGGTTTTTTCTAACCGGATGCAAGACAGGAACTACAATCAACTCTCCCGGGGGTATGATACTGGGGAACAGTGGCCTAGATGGAGCCTGTGTTACTTCACCAGGGACGTGTGCGTGTCTAGCCACTTGCACACAGTGCTGAATAGTCAACCTTTGTTAACCAATAAGGACAGCAAGGAAAATTTACCATCACGCAGCAAGCCTTCTGCATTCATCTGCAGCTCAGGGACTATAGAGGTATCTCAGGCACAACAGCTTTAAAGACCAAGATGTGCTGGGTTTTTCAATTATGTGCGTGTGTGGTGGTAGCGATGGGGACACCCTTACCTTTTCTCCGGGTCCTTCTGCAGGCACGAGGAAATCATCTTCCTAAACGATTTCCCATACTTTTTCAGCATTTCTTTATCTTGCACTCCAGTCTCCAAACAAGGTGGATCGTTCTGTAGTGTCAGCATTAACACCTGAAAGAATTGAGTCCACTGTAAACATCTGGGGGAACCAAAAATTTTCCTGAAAAGCCAGGTGTCAGAGATGGCACTTGTATAAACTCCCTGCGAAAAGGCAGAGTGAGGCTTTCTGTCGATGCTCATGATGACCCCTTACGCGTTAAAAAGATCCAGGCTGCGGGATAAATGCCAGGTCCGGGCAAATTTCTAAGTCAGCCACACCAGCATGGTGCAGCCTCAAAGGAAAGCAGAAGGGCAACAGTTTTTCTGCCAAGCCTACTCATTTGTGCCTTGAGATGGTTCAAGCAAGACCTTAGATTCAAATGTTCTCTCCTGATCTGCCTGGAGGTGTCTCTTAGCCATAGGACGAAGCGGAGAGCGAGTCAGAAATTGTGTTAATTATTAATGCAAACAGAAAGGCCACATGGATGATAAGATAAACTTGTGCTCTCACCACCCCCTGCACCCACCAGGTCAAACTGATTTCTTCTGTTCAACTCAGAACAGCAAAAGCATTCGAAACAAAAGAACAAAAAATTGCCATTGCTTCCATTTTCCCTTGTCATTACTGTTGTGCAGACTATACCAATTTTAGAAAGAGAACCAGCACGCAATATATTTGAAGACATTTCTACAGCTGTAAAACAGCAATGGCCCATCAATTCAGGCAGAATTATACAGGCTAATGAAAGTGGAAGTTACATTTTCTAGTGACAATATGGAAATAGAAATTGCTGCCTAGTGACATTTATAAACAAAGTCTGAACTTGCAGTTTGAATGCAGCAAGCCCAGTCCAAAATAACTGGTGTAAAAATGTTAGCAACTATCTACAGTCGCATGGGGAAATACTACTGAAAACAGCAGAAGCGATTCGTCTGAATTCATGGCTGCTTTGTTATGAACATTAACTTCATCTGCAAACAATGAAAGTCAGAATAATAATATTAAGTGCGTATATTTTAATAGATGTATTCAGAGCAGTGCAAACACCTGTGTAGACCCTCTTAGTTTAAAAGGTGGGCTTATTCTAGTATGGCTCAAGTCAATTAGGAATCTGTTTGAGTTAAAATAAAACTAGCCATTTCAAAATCGAAATAAGACCCCCCCCACACGAAGGGTTTTCCACCTGTTTAAATTATTTGGTTTAAAAGCTGAAGTTAAACTTGGCACAACGTCCATATATAGTAAAGAAAGTCTATTTTCACATTACTCAATCTTATTAAAAGTACTGATTCTGAATAAAATGAAATTGTTCTTGGGAAAATGTTTGTTTCATTAAATACCACCTGACAAAACCTGCCTAATTCAACACTAATCCTGCCATTTTTGCAGAAATTTGACCAGCATTGTAAAGCAGCAATACAATTTCCAACCACAGATTTGACAATCTGGAGTGTGTGAAGCAGAATAGGTCTGTCTTTTGTTCACCAAATGCATCTGACAAAGGGATCGGCCTGTTACTTGAACAAAGCGCCCATCACAAAGAAATATTCTGAGGTCCAAAGGCTCCAGAAGCACAATCCATCATGCTGTAAAGCAAGAGGCAGCTGTTACAATGCCAATGCCACAGATCAAGGATGAAGAGAAAACATTTTTCAGACAATGCAAGCAGTGGGAAGTGAGAGCAGAGTTTGCACAGCAGGAACACAGGAAAGGAAGGGACCTCCTGGACTAGAGTCCAAGGCCCTAGGAAGCCATGTTGTATAATCCCTTCTATACACTGAGCAAGGTGCATCTTAAAGGTGGTTAGTTTGGTCCCCATTCCAGACAACCTCTCTCTCTTCCAACACCTTCCTTCTGCATTAATTCATTTACTTCTATCATACCTTTCCTAAAATCAGGTTGCATGTAGAAATGCCTTCCTGTTTTGTAAATATGGATTTAAACAAAAAACAAACAAACAAAATCAAACCCACTGCTCTCTACCCAAGCTGCTCCATTACTGCACAAGAGCAGGTTTGGAGCAAATCTCCCCCAGCCTTCAGCAATCCCACCTAAAAAGATATCAAGTACGCAGACCCTGGACTCCAAAGATGCTGTTCTAAGTCACCCTTCAAACTGGTATCCAGCAACAAGACCCGCCAGAACATATAACAGGAAATAACACCTCTCCAAGTAAATGGACCCAGTTACCCGTCTGGAATACCCGAGGCTGAGACCATCAGCTCATCTTACTTGGGCTACTCAACAGACACGAGACCAACTTGCAGCCTCTAGCTAGGCTAATGCTCAAGCCAGTCATGTCTACAGCATTATGGTGAGCAAAATTCAAAGTTCTGAAAACTACGATATGAAGAAGCAACCTTTACTCTGCCCCCCCTGGGGCTGATGACAGCCTATGGGAATGGTCTGCAAGAACTCAAATGGTATTCACTCGGTTAAGGTCTGGGTGTGTTGAAGTAGAGAGGGATTACTGGAAACAGTTTGGCAGGACTGCAATATGCGTTCATCTAGATGGGCCGTGTCCTTCTCTGGCGGTGTGAGTCCTAAGACCTCCTTCCATATGTGGGTACCTGGAGGAGTCCAGTATGCCTTAGCTCAGGAGTTTTCTTGCCATGCCACATCAACCATTACGAAGAAGAAAGCATTTAACAATGGGCAGGTGAAAGAACAGTGGCATCACATACATAAGAGTGAAGGGACTGTAAAAGTTCATTGTCTCTGTGGAGCAGGCTAAGTGTTTGGCTGAAGAGCAGGTGCATATACAAGTCCTGTTCAGTACAGTTCAAAGGCAGAGTGAGCGTGTGAGCTTGGGGCATTGCTCAAAGTGCAAGTGTGGCAAGAAGGCAATACAGTTCCCCACCACACACAGGTGTGGCTTGCCTTTCAATTTTGCATGTCCTGGTTTTCAGAGCACAAGGAGAACCTTGCATTGCACTACTGGGGCATGGCTCGCATGAGGGGGAAGGGCGCAGGTCTTGCCCATCCTTAGAAGGACAGTCTTCCAGAGCCCGGTGCATATCTGGGGGTAGGGAGTGTGGTTCAGACACTTCCAGACAGGCAGGGACCCCATGATGCTCATGATGTGGGCAAGGAGGGGTGACCATACTGGCCCTCCTCTGATACACAAAAATAATGAAGAGGGCTGGAAACAACCAGAACCACGGCTCCCAATGGTGGGTGGAAAAAGAGATGCAAAGGGACAGGGTCTCGGGTCCGAGCACACACTGTTCTACTCCTCCGATTTCCCCTATAACCCATATCAACCCCTCCTTCCTTCCTTCCGCTATAACCCACCCATCCCCAAATACCCACTCCGCACGCCCCCCTTTCCCTCAACATTACCCAAAACTATTCTTCCTCATTCCCCTATTCTACTGACCCTCCACTAAGACCCCCTGCACCTCCCCACACGTCATTCGTTTTCTTTCCCAGAACAGTTTGAGTGCCCTCTCAACCTTTCGTGCACTCAGGTTACAATTGTCCTAAATAATAAAACCTTGGATTTGGGGCAGTGGCAGCAAGGAAACATCTTGCTTTCCTTCTCTCCATCTCCACTTGCCCAGTTTGTCCCAAGGATTAGCTCTGAAGAAGACCTGGCTGGGCACACACAAGGTTCAACGGCCACTGCATTTCCCCTTGAACCACCCAGCTGAAAGAAAACAACCAAGCAACAAAGCCTCTTATTTCATGATGTTGGGACTGCACCTGCATGGAACATCTTCTCAAATGTCTCTCCCACAAATGCTAGCGAGGTGAAATGTCAAGGGACGGAGGTCATATTTTGGGCAAAACCCAAGCCATGACTTCATTCCCATGCCTGTGCAAAAATGGCAGAATCTGTTTTAAGAAAAGCTGGTTTTCAAAGGATCTGTCTCTCAAGAACCACCTGCTCAAGTCTGGCCAAATTCAGAGCACATACCCCACCCTGCATGATCCTGAAGCACTCTAAAATGTCAGTCAGCTGATTAAACACGGGGATTTAAAATGACTTAAGAGGCCACCTGTTCACAGAGAGAGTTTCTTCACTAACTACAGCAGCATCGGCACTCTGCTATCATCACACCTAGGCTTGACTTCAGTGGATCCCCTACATTATTTTATACCAAAAGTATAATCTCTGCATATATCCTATACGGACACTTCAGTGCTGGTACAGAGAAATTACAAGCACCTTAAGAAACCTGCCTGTGGAAACCGATGCCAGATTTTACAGGGAGATGACGGGGAGAAATGATATGATAGGAAAGAAAAAAAAAAAAACAAACTTAGTGGCTCCTTATCCAGATGCCTTATCAGATGCTGTTGATACAACCGATTGTTCTCTAGTCCACCAAAACCTGCTCTGCTGTTTTTAAAGAAGACAAGTGTGAGACAACGCAGCACTCATGAGCTGCGCTCTACATAGAAAACATATGGATCTGAACAGAACTATTCACTGTTGGAAGCCCACACACAAGAAAAGCAGTTTGCTTAATTTTAGAAACCACTTCCCCATATGCCTTGAAAAATACTGTTTTCTGGCGTGTCACACGTACAATCATGAAGGCAAGTCTAATAACTGGGCTGACAGCTTCCTTCAAGACAGCCTTGGGAAACGCTAATAATACTGCTTTTTGTCAACATGAGTAACTGAAGATCATTGCTCACCTTCATTGGTGGGTATTTATGATACGGAGCGGCCCCCGTAGCTAGCTCGATAGCAGTGATTCCAAAACTCCAGATGTCGGCCTTGAAATCGTAACCTCTGACCTGAAAAAACACAATAGACATTACTACACACACCTTTCTCCCCCCCGCCCCAAGGCTTGCAATGGAGCTTGTACATTTTTTCGGTCTCTTTTCTTTATCCTCAAGTGCTCTGGAAGACGCACATCTCCCATTAACTCCAGCTGGTGTTGCAATCATACCCAGAGCAAAGACATGCCTTTCTTCCTCCAAGTTCCTTACTGGCTTCAGTCAGATGGCACATCAGGTAGATCACATTTGTGGCTCAAAAATGGCTCATGTATCACCATACAAACAAAATGGTTAGAGCCATGTAGTCCAAAGGCATGGCCTTCAACTGGGCTTTGGCTTCTGCACCACCCTGGAGAATCATTACACTGCTCGAGTCAGACCAAAACAGACAGGCGCCGCTAGGAAACCTATCGCCAGCCCCCGGTCACATGCCTCGCTAGCACCTTCGAGGCAACCGCTCGAGTAACTCGGCTACAACCACTTCCACTCCAAAAATCAGTCTGAAAAAATGCTGCATTGCAAGTCTGTGCCAGCCTCCTGACAGATTCCTCCCTTCTGTTTAATAGAAATCATTAGAGACCTAATATTTTGCCTTCTGTTCAACTGTCTTCCACTTTAGTAGGCATTAGTACTTTCTGCACTTGAGGATGCGCAGGATGGATTTGTTCAGTAAAGCTATCTAGTGTCTGACCCTCTCTTTTTTTTTTTTCTTTTAAACACACACATTTCATATGCCCTCAAAAGTCCTCACTAGGAACAGATTAGGTGTTGACATCTAACTAGCTTTCTCCACCGCAGAGAAAGAGACACTGTACTGACTTCAGCCAGAGCTATAAAAATCCAAGCGTTTTGCCCAATTGGAATGGTTTCCCCTTCCTGCTTACTGGACAAACGAGAACAAACTGGAAAAAGTCAGCAGGCTCAAATTTCTTAGCACCAGATAAGTCAATACTGTATATACCCAAATCCAAGATGACTTTGGATGTAAGCCAACCCCCCAGTTTTTAGATGGGAAATCTACACATTTGTTATCGTTTTCCATGTTTAGAACCTAATTATTGGAAGCTCGTCTTAAATTAACCCTCCCCACCACTACAGCGACAGACAGCAGTGGCAGGGGGACAGGCAGCCCCCACCACTTGCTCCCATTTCAATCTGCCTCCCCCGACAGTGTCTATGCCCCGACCGCCTGCTCCCTGCAGCCTCTGCCCCGCTGCCTGCTCCCCAGAGGTGCACAGCTCTGGCCCCATTCCCTCCTGGACACCGAGCACATGCAAGCTCCAGCCCCTGCCCAGCTGCACAGCAACATCCTGAGCTGAAGCTGCCACTGCCATGTGGCCAGGCAGGGACTGGAGGCTGCTTGTGCCCCATGCCCAGAAGAGAACAAAGCCAGAGCTATACCTGACAGCAAGCAGGGGAAGAGGGGGCAGAGGCTGCAGAGAAGCAGCTGGGAGCGGGAAGGAGGGAGCTGTACGGCAATTGCTGCAGCTCTGACTCTGGCCCCAACCAGGCCTGTGTTCAAATGCAAGACTAGGGACTTTTTTTTTTTTTTTTTTTTTACCCCATGTTGAAGGGAAGTAAAAAAAAAAAAAAAAAAACAAAAAAAAAAACTTGCCTTGGATTTTAGTAAATACAGTACTTAATAAGGAAGAAGTGCTTATTTTGATAACACCAGATATTTTGTTTAATCTTTAAGATATGATGCCAATTTTTTAAATTTGGAAAACCTCTTCTGGCTTTCAAGTTCTGGGTGATCTACATTCATATGTTGTTAAATTACAAATTCAAAAGATTATCATAAAGTATGCTATGCTCTAACTTGTCAGTTATCCCATTTAACGATGCCAACATTGCTTCTGTGGAGATGTAAGATTAGATTAGAGAAGAAAAAATTTGTTGTAAACTTCTGTGCCATGAGCTGCCTCATGCTGCATATGGATCAATAAGGTCAAACAATTAGATTTAAACGATCATCAAAAAGAAAACCGGGAGCAAAGTGCAGTGCTAAACTTGTAATAGTTGCACACATCCTGCAATATGTTAACCACTTGCAAGTTTCAAGCGTACTATATCAGGGGTGGCCAATCTCTGGCACGCCTGCCACAAATGAATGGGGGGAGCGTATGTGATGCGTACTGTACGTGGCACAGACTGGCGAGGGAGCAGGAAACAGCAGCAGATAGGGCAGGGAGCAGAAAGAGGAGTAATGGACTGGGCAGGAGAAGGGGATTGGAGTGGCACTCGAGGACACAGTGTGGGGCTTACTTTGTGGCATGCCTAGCATAAAGCACTGGCTGTACTATATAATCCCTGTGGGCATATATGAGGCACTTAGCAATTTTTCAGAATTCTAGAAACCTTGATTTTCACCCAAAACACAACAATAACCTTAATTTTTTTTATATTTTATTAATTTAGGCCAGCAAATTTTACTCCTTATCTACAGCAAAACTGGACTATACTTGATAACTGCATATTTTGACCAACAAACAGGGAATGCTGGGGTATCAGATGTCTACCTGCTATTAAGGAACATTTATGGCCTCACAATAAATTTAAAAATGGGACATGTTTTTTCTGTGCAATCAACTACTTTTATTTCTGCCTTTTAGCTGTAATCCCAGATATAATGTTTCACAGTGACACCTGCTGGAAGACAACAACAGGATGCTCCCAACAGCCTTTGAAAGTCCGTCCCCTACTTAATGACTTGTTTGCCATTTAATTTCTTGCAGCACACTTACACTAACAGCCTACACAAGATCTTGCAAGCCTCCAGGAGCTGTGCCCCAATAAGAACCACTAAATATTTGCAATCAAAGTCTTTTCACTGTCATTACATGACTCTCCAGGGTAAAGACCTTTGTAAAACAACTTTATTCTTTCAAGTTTCCCCTCTTAAATCTCTTTCCATGACTCTCCACCACAAACGCCCGTGGGCAAAGTCAAGAGAAGCCCAACTGAGTGCTGCTGCATTTGGACCTGCTATTCTACATCCATGTAAGGAAGGGCAGATATTACTTCCAGTACCTGTTGACTGGCAATTCACAGAACAACAGGGAGAAACTACAGGCACCTCTTAAGGCCTCCACAGCTGTGTCAAGATATACAGATCCCAGCTAGGCCCTCAGCAGGGCTGGAGAATTTACCAGGCCAATGAGTTCCAGGTGCTTGCACGTGTACACATGCACTCTTCCTCCCACACCAAACCAGAAGCAAGGAAAACAGACCACCACTTGTTCCAGGAGCAAATAGGACCTTCCATCTTGCCCACTAACCACCATTTTAATTGAGCATCTATATTCACTGAATCAAAACTATCACCACTGTCTGGCTGAGCAACAGCCCTGGATCTTATCAGATGCTGGTTTGAATAACAGTGGATGCTAACTTGCACATAAATGGTAGGGTGGCCTGCAACCGAGAGTGCTCAAATTTGTCTGCAATGTCAAGGTGGGTCCAGGATTATATTGCACTGTAATGAAACTACCCAGGCTGAACTGGATATGGGCAGTGGCATCCTCAGAAATATTCACCATGGACATCCATGTGAAGCCAGGCTTCCTCAGCAAGAAAGCTTTTCATAAATAATGCAGATGTGTTGCCTCTTTTGCCACTTAAAGTGTTTGATCCCTGTTAGAAATGTTTACCTGTTCCATGACTTCCGGCGCCATCCAACAAGGCGTGCCCACAAAGGTTTTTCTCACTTTATTTCTGGTAATATCACCACCGGTGGCTAAGAACGCGCTAACACCAAAGTCTGAAATCGCAA